CACTTCTCACTATGATATACTCGCCAAGACGTAGACATATCTATAGACATATCTTTTGATCAGTCACAATCTCCGGATATTGGCCACCTGGCAGCTGGAAAAGTAGGAGGAAGAGAAAAGTCGAACGCAGGGTCGGACTGAGGAAGAGGATGTGATTTACTGCTTTCCCTTCCTTACAGAATCTCTAGTTAAACCTTTGCCACCAGGTAAAAAAATTGAAGTTGTTCTATCCCTTCTGTCATTCTGTTGGAGTTTGGGGTACGAGGAAGTGATATCCTGCTTTGCGTCCGTGACATTATCTCTTGTCAGACTTTTGCCACGGGGCATGGGATGGAAGTTCTTCTATCTCTTCTGTCTGGCATTCAGTTGGAGTCACAGTTGCCATCAACGACCTCCACTGCGATCAGTTCGTACCGTGTAGAAAAAGCAGAATTGAATTCGTTGCTGAAGCCCGCTCGCTGTCTATCTTAGAGAAGAAATTTATCAAGCGTCAAGCCTTCGCCATTAGATGTGTGAGTACAGACTACTTGCAGCCTTCTTCCGCGTCCCCTCTGCACTCATCCTTCTATGGATTGATCGTTTTCACCAAACGTGCATGTCTTGTGCTCATGTGTGTAAGTGAGTACCAAACGTGTATGACGTCGAGGGGTTTGACTCCGAGTCAAGGATGACTCTACTCTGATCAGCCTTTCGGTTGATGGGCCTTTTTTACCTTATCTGATGACTTTAGTCTACATAGCTGAGAATGATGCTTTTTCTCGTATCCAGGGGCATGGAGCTCGGGAGGGTGTACATCATAAGGTCAGCGCTTACCTAGAACTGGGATGACAAGCTTCGAATTGAATGAATCTTGTCTGCCTGTGATCAGACAGGCCTAATAATGAACCGTAGTAGGGTACTCAACCACGCCACGGGAAGTTGAAGTTCACCACGGTCACAGCAGTGAATTGCCACTGAGTAATGGTAATGGTACTGGGTGGACCACAGAAGTTCACAAAAAGTTCAGCTATCTTTGAAAGAGGAAAAGGTAAAAATAAAAATATAAACATACGAGCAGGAGGAATTAATTAGAAGAAGATGTTTCTGTATTGAAAAAACTTCCTCCATCAGCGCATAAATTCTTCATGTCTTCAATTTGATCAATATCTGCACCGCAAAGTATAAAAGTTTCAAGGTTTTGAATTTGTACTTTGATTCTAGTCTGCCGGGTTTTGGGCAATGTTTTGTTCTTTTCATGATATCCTATTTCTTCTTCCTGTTCATACATATCTTGCGGCAGGAACTGGAGTGTAATAACTTGTAGGAAATGACTTCACATGAAGGCATCTCAAGGAGTGGTAATGTAATGGAGCTTTCCAAGCACGAACGCATTGAACGCATTGAAATGCAATTTTAGTTCAATGCATTTCGAATTGGTCTTAGTCAGTCAGCCAGTCAGCACTGACTGACTGACCATCGCACCAACAAATCAGAACTCTCGCTTGGTGCTGGTTCTCTAATTCATTTCCACGCACTTCTAATGTAACAAGCTAGTGCAAATTCTATCAACAATGACCATAAAGGTTATAGGAAATTCCAAGAGTGAACCCATTGATTGCCGGAGTACATCACTGTACTGAGTGTGTTTGACAACCAAAGTATAACACACGTTGCAGGTTTTCAATAAATTTTTGTAAGAAGTGTTCATGGTATGTGAGCGCAAGTGACCAGTTCAGAGTTCTTCTCTTGTCAACCACGTCAACATATAAGAGGTTTGTCTTGTCCCGGATCCCGGGGTCTCCTCTGGTGGAAAACACCAAAAGTACTCATGAGATCATTCATACATCCATCACTGTGCTAACGGAATGAACACTGCTGGGTTTCATGAATTCGTGATCTGGATCTCCAATCTCAAGTTGCATGCTGAACAGACAGATAAAGTTCGCTAATGAGCAGTGCCCGAAACATCGGCTGTCTGGTCATAATCAATCAGTCAGCCCATGTGTGCAGAATCACCGCACTGTGGTCGTGCAGGGAAGGAGCTACATGTGAAGATTGAGAAGGGGCCTTCCTGTGTTCGCAACTGTTTGCGGGAGGAAGGGCCCGATCAAAAGCGCGTGTGAGCTGTTAACGATGACAGTCATCTCGGACTGTGAGTTAAGTCGGGCAGCAACTCCTCTTCTGGGCCCAGGACAGATTCACTTCACCACCACCACCGAACTGTCACAATCCGAGTGCTCTAGTAGATTCAGCGTATGGATGATCCTAGTTGTAATATCGTGTCTTCTCCGCCCTCTTCTGAGCTTTCCGAAGTTCAGTCAACGGTGTGATAGACCAGAAGGACACACTCACTTAGTGGCATATCTCCCGAAATTAGCTCCGACCTTTTGGTCTCTGGTCCATCAGTACGGATATCTCGATTCACTTACTTCCATGTCGCGTTTGCCCTTGTGTCGGCAAGTGACTGGTTCTGAGTTTTTCTTCGAGTTTGTGGTACCTTTCCTCCTCTTCCTGTCTGTCCATCGTACGTACCTGGATGTTGTGCATCTCTTTTTCGGTCGATTGGAATGTATGGGTGACGAGGGGGGCTTTAGTAGTACGGCTGTGTGTCGGCTGTTGACACCAGTCAAACTCTGCTGCAATGGAAAAATCACTTCAAAAGGCTTCATTGTCGGCATTTGCATCTCTCTTCCATAGAATCGTCCTCTGAACATGCATGTGCCCCTCTCTTAAGATGAATGTCTGTCGAATCGCTCGTTCACCTTTGACACCATCCGATGTAATGGGTCGTAACACTTTTGCAGAGCGATAAATGATGTGGTGGGGGTGGGTGGATTAGTTGGTTGTTGGTTCCAAGCCCGGGACTTGCGGACTCTCTTTAAAGATGGAGGCAAGGCAGTAGGTACTCTACTCTGTAAGCACGGGATTCAAATATGTCAGTGCGTAGGAAGAAATCAACCACCTTGCTCCCTGTGAAATCATCCACTCGTATGTGTAATACAAACTGTAACTAATTCTCCTCTCCTTGGGCGAAGGACGACGCACTTGCGCCCAAAATATTCTCCGGAACCAACTGAACTAGACGAAATACAAAGCCCCGGATATTGAGATGAATACAATTCTGAGGAGGGTTCGATTGGCAGCGAAAATGGACCAATCGTCAGATCCACATGCTGAATGGAAATGGAAGGAGAACGATAAGGGTAAACATTTCGAATCAGTCCATGATGGTCGTCACGGGACCTGAAAGAGCGCATGAGAGGAGAGGTACGACCTGCCAAAGACGGCAGGTGCCAAATCCAGCGCATCGTACTCGAGAGCTCGGATCGTCGTCACTGTGGCTCCTTTTCCCGGCGAGCCCGAGACACGTCGCGGAGAGTGAGGCAGGAAATCCGAAATGGGAGGATATTGGGACGCTCTGGTCTACTCTAATCCGATCATGTGAATGTGTGTCTGAAGCTTACAGCTCTCGCTCGTCTCACTGCAGCATTTTCGCCGTTCTGCGACTCCACTTGTGCGCAAACATTCCTCTCTCCTTGATCACATTCCAAATCAGGAGGAAGACGTCCATCGGAGCGCGAGAGACACAGAGAGAGATAGGAAATGCTCGGAACTTAGTCGAGGAGGAGGAGGAACAGGAGGTGTCATCGTACATCTACTTGCAGCCTGCAAAATTTGTTTCTTCTACTCTGTTTTCGTGTTGGCTCGTTCTTATTTCTGGAAGCTCGAGCGACTGTTGCCTTCTGACAACAGTTTCCTGTCGGTCTCATGACCTGGATCCCGAGCTCCTGTGCATGTCTTGTTCAACTTCTCGCCGTGAGCGTCTCGTGTGGAAGTTGTCTGCCATCTTCGTTCGTGTTGGTGTGTGTGTCAGTTTTGGCTTTCCCATTGCGGATCACGGAGAGCCTAATCTGCTAATCCGTGCGTAATCTGCTCGAAGGTTTTTGTCTTGGAAGTCGTATATATAAACTGTTCAACGGCCCGAGATCTCTCGATCTGCTGCATATGTAGCATTGTTGCGGCAGGGCCTAGATCACTCACGGAAATCGACAAATGACCGAGATCCGACGGACGTGTTTCACAACGATCGAAAAGACAGAGCGTGAGACAACATGGCTGGTTTTGGTGAGCGCTGATAACTGTTTCTGGTGATTAAAATGAAGATCATGGACAGTATCTCAGCCAGGGCGAGCATTCACAGCAGTCTTAAAAGTAATAGCGGTCGCCTCAACGCGTTACACCAATTGACCAACCTTGTCACCATTCGTCCATTGCAACTTTCCATGAGACTGATTGAATCATCTCCACCATCACTGGCTTCCGGGATCATAGATATGTCTGAACATAGTGAGGGACTACGCGAATTTTCACAAACCCAAAGTATGTCCCTACTTCCTACTGGTCCTGGTCATGGGCCACTAATTGTTCGGCGGCTCCTTTGAGTCGACTTGGCCCTACGATTCGAGACCGCCACATTACTGTGTGGTTTAGTACCCTTCATCTTGCTTCGGGCATCTGTTATATTTACTAGCGAAGCTCTTGACGGCAGATCTCCTCCGAGACCACCAGAGTTCGGCCAGATGCTACTGAACTCAACGCTTTTGTTACTCATCAATGGCAGCTCTCGAGTTCCGGGACTATTTCGAGTAGAGGTGTGCTTTAGCCAAACAGTTTATGACGGAGTAGATAGTCGGTTCAAAGACCTTCAAATGCGTGACAGGCTGACGGCAGTGAGTGCGTCCTCTGTGTGAGGTATGAAAGGCTCGGAGTAGAGAAACTTCACGAGGGCTGATGTGAGCAAGACTGTGAAGTTTCAACACGGCCAGAAGACAAGAGAGGAGTTGGTAAGAGATGAGTTCAAGAGACGAGGCCAAACCTGGGACTGGGGACGGAAGGGCGGCATTGCATCAGTGCAGAGTGGTGGGTTGAGCTACAAAGCACTTATTTGCAACGGCATTTCCTGGCACATGAAAGGATGGCTTGAGACTTTTCCTTACGGATGATAAAATAGCAACAGATTGATACCAGAAACAAAGGCACTGAATTATACGGAAATCTAGCACCACTTGAGGTGATATGATCAGCCTTCGACATATAACTAGCGAAGTCACGGTCTCCACGAAACAGGGCCACAGGGCTGGTGGACATAAAATGAGGGCATCGATTTCGACCTAGCTCTTGAAAGTTCTTGTACAGACTTCGGTTAGAGGAGACTGGCCTTCCAAATCCAGAAAAGTATACCATGTTTTATAAATTTGGAGCTTGACAATTGTGAACTATATACAACAGGATATTGGGAATTGACACTAGGGGATTAAGCCTTCCTGAAAAACCATCTACCTGCATGGCCTATGGTTGGAGTGCCCGCAAGTAAAGACTTTGTATCGGGGCGCCATCTGAACTCCTTCAGAGTCACGATAATATTATCGACTGCTAGACTCAATTCTGAATCACGAATATTATTACAATGCACTACACGCAATCTCTGCAAGTCCTTTGCCATTAGAATCATCTCCTCGAGTCCTGCTGCCGTAATCAACGAACACCCATCCAGGGATAGCAGTCTTATCTTCCTGCAGTCACAAAGACAAATAAAATCAGCATTTCCCACTAAACTTTTCAGTTTCAAGCTTTAAAACCTCATTACTTACGGATGAAACATCCATCAAAAAAATCTGTTGAAAATGCAAAAGCTGAAGGCAGATGGAAATGCCGGTTCTAATATTGCCCTCAAAACTTTTAAATACTACAGGAAGAGAATGGGGATAACAGTATGCAGCTCGATGCAAAAACGGACGGCAGCTCGAAACAAAAGATCCTAAACGGATGAGTAGTTAATTGCCATAGAGAAGATACAGAACAATGATTTGACAATATCCTTGGGTGCTGACGACAAAGGTGCTTCGAGAAGGTTTCATCCGGCATTCTCGAGCATGAAGCAGAACGATGAAACTTGGAAGAGTTTGCCCTGGGTTGGTGAATGCGGAGTGTGCTTGGCACAAGAATCAATGAAATCCACGGAACCTTAGGCTCAGGTCTCCTCATGTCGGTAGGGTGACAATGACACTACACATAGACCACGCTATACAACTTGAAAAGAATTTAGAGAGACGCGTGTGGCTGGGAGAACAAACCTGCAGTGGGCCGTGAGAGCAAAAGTTTCGTCGTCTAAACCCCAGCAATCCTGGAACTCGAGCTCCTTCACATACTTGCACACGGTGAGCAGTGCTCCAAAAGCAACTCGATCCCGAAGATCGCAGCACACCAGCTGCAATCGCTCCAAGGTGGGGCACCTCTTCAGAAACTCGACAGGGCCCGGTTCGCGGTCTATGTACTTGCACCTTTCCAGCCGCAATGTCTTCAAGCAGCTGAAGGAGCCCAGCGCGGCCACCCAACCCTCTTCGAACCCAGTGCTCGACAGCGTCAGCTCCTCGAGCATCTCGCAGCACTGCCCAATTGCCGAGATACCAGCATAACCGGCCTCGCACCCGATCAGCTCGAGCTTGATCAACCGCCGGCATTTGTTGGCCAGGATGGTCAGCCCCACATCCGTGAACGAGCAGTGGCTGAATCCCTCCACCGTGCCCACCAGGCGCAGAATCTGAACATTGGGGAAATGCACCACGGACGAGATGGTCTCGTCCGTGCACTGGTGCACCTCCAAATCCTGCAACATCGGGCAACCCTTGGCCAGGCTCAACAACCCCAGCTCCAGCACCGCATCGCCATCGCCCTTGCCCTTGATCCCCTTCGCCCTGCGGCTGCGCGGGGTGCCGACATCCTCCTCAATTGGACCCAGCGATACTCCCAGAGCGGTGGCGCTCCGGGCCAGAGCCGCCTGCGCCACGGCCTTCACGCCCAGGCCCTCGACCTTGTGCAGGTTGCTACTTATCCTGAAGCCATCGTCCTTCTGGAATCCAGGCTTGATCACGATGTTGCTCAGCTGCACGGGCTCGGAGGCCGGCACGTCGGTGGCGTCCTCCTTGAAACCGATCGCCTTGAGCTGGGGCGGAGTTTGGCATAGCTCCGCGACGTCGGCGGCGTCTCTCTCGACCTTGAAGCCCGAGGGCTTGAGAGGATTCGGGCTCGAGACGTCGACGAGGGAGTCACCCTTGAAGGCGGAGCTCTTCTGATTCGAGGACACGAACTCCCACTCGCTGAAGGCGCCGGCCTGCGCGTGGCCTACGTCCACAATGCGCAAGCGCTGAAGCTCGGGGCAGCCACGGGCGAGGACGGCGAGGCCACGATCGAGGGCCTCGGGCGCGAGCTGCTGCGTGCGAATGCAGGCCTCGAGAGAGAAGGGCTCGGCGACCTGCGGGTGCAGCGAGAGGTCAAGATTGGAGAGCGTGATGCAGATGGAGTTGCGCGTGGTGGCGTCGCGCATGCAAGCCCAGGTGAGGTCGATGTAGGTGAGGTCAGGGAAGCGCTTGGGCAATCGCCCTGATTCCAAAAAGGCCCAATTGAGCAGGCGCAGCGACTTGCGGTCCTTGTCGATGAGTCGAAGCCAGCGCTGGCACACGAGGCTGCACGACGCCCTCGAGGCTGCGGGCACGCCCAGCAGGATGCGCTGCAGCAGCGCGTCGCTCAGCGCGGCCGTGATGTCCGTCTTGGCCGGGTCAATTTTGTTGCCCTGCCCCTTTCCAGGGGCGCGCATTCTCGCCCAGCCCTGCCCGGGCTCCGCTCTGTTGCTCGGATCGGCGCTCGTCCTCTGCTGCCTAGCCTTCGACGTCGCGCATTTACTGTGCGCCTGCGCCTGAATGCGGAGCGCTACGCTGCCGCTGCTGCTGTTGCTGTTCGCTCAGCTCGATATCACGCCCCGACGTCAAATCGACCCTGCGACGAGATCCTCTGGCCGACGTGCTCGGATGCCTCGGTTTCTTCGTGCTTATTCGGCTCCTGCTCTACTAGCTGCAAAATTGGGTGGATCGATCGCCTCCTCGAACGCTGAAATCGAGCTCGAGATTGGAAGAGCTCCGATGCGCCTCTGATTGTCTCCGGCCGAATTCGGTCCCGGCCCGGGTGGCATCAAAGCTCGCTAGCTCGCTCGCTCGCTATGTATGTAGGAAAACAAAACTTGTTCCGATGAATGGAGTGCAGTGCGGGGATCTGCTCCTGCTCTCCCAATCGCTGTGTCGCACTCCCCTCTGCCGAATCGGCGGAGGGAGTTCTCGCTTCCGGAATCGGGGCGAAGGAAACCCAAAATCAAGTGAGTCCTGCTCACAACAAACTCTTCTCGAGGGGGCTCGTCCGGTCCTGGAGGATCCAAGCACGGGTGGCGGGGAAACTCCTGCACCGAGGAGGAAGAGAAGAGAAGAGAAAAGAAGAGAAGAAAGAATAAGAAATTTACAGGAGGACGAGGAAACGAAGGCTTCGCTTCGCTTCGCTTCGCTTGGCTTGGCCTCGCCTCGCCTTGCCTTGCCTTGTGGTTTTTGTGCTGCTGACTGCTGCCTGCTCCGACCGAGCAATGCTGCTTCCCGAAGCTCGTCGGCTTGCTCGCTGGCTGACTGACTGGCTGACTGCTGACTAACGCTGCTGTGCTGCGTCCTCCGCCTCAAGCAATTCCTCGAACGAAACAAGACTTGGCCCCGGCTGCACGCCTCCGCCTGGCTCCTGCCCGCTCGCTTCCTTGCTTCAATTCAAGCCAATCCAACTCACCGAGCAAACGAAACGCATCACTCGGCAGCACGCACGCACTCGCGCACGCACACTAACACACAAACACTCACGAGCGAGCGACAGCGGGAGTTGTAGAGGTGGTGGTAGTAGTAGTAGTGCCGGTGATGGTGGTAGTGGAGTAATAGCGATGGACCGGGAGGGCGGGTTCGGTTGGGTCCGGTCCGGTCTGGTCGTCCGTCTGTCTGTCTGTCTGTCTGTCTGGCGACTAGCGCAGGACGAGACAGATGGATTGCTGTCTATTAATCTTTCTTTCTTCCTTCTGATCTCATCTCATCATCATCATCATCCCGCTCTCTCTCGTCTCGTCATTCTCTTCCTCCTCTTCAATGCTCTTCCTCTACCCTCCTCTACCCGTGCCTCCTCCTCCTCCCCTCCTCCCTCCCTTCTCCTCTCCCTCCCTCCCGCTGCCACTCCTCTCGATAAATTTCCTTTCCTGTTTTCTCACTTTTTTACCACCGGAGTGGGTGCTCGCTTAGAACCCTTCCGGATTTCCTCTACCTTCTCTTTCTCTCTCTCTCCCCCTCCCCGTCTCGCACTCTCTCCGCCCTCACCTCACCTCACTCCCCTCCCCTCCCCTCTCTGCAAAGCTCGATCGCTCGCTGCTGCTGCTGCTGCTCTTCCTCTCCCTCGCACCTCTTCCCTTCTCCTTTTCCCCAGAAGGTCGCGTCCGGGTCTTGCTCTCTCGCTGCCCTTGCTGTCTCGCTTTTTCTGTGCTATTATTGGGTGCAAATCAGAATTTCCGAATGTGTCTGCGAGGCCGTCCGAGGCTCCGTCCTTGATTTATGTCCTGCTCCATCACCGTCATAATCTCGCGCACGGAAGCTTCGTTCCGTCCGGTGGCTCTTCTCCGTCTCTCTCTGGCTGGCCTTGCTTCGTCGCATCCTCCCTCCAGCTGAGTGAGGCCAGCACCAAGAATGCCGGCCTGGGCTGGGCTGGGCTGGGCTGTTGTACCCTTTTCTTCAGATTCACTTCACATCTCCAACTGGCCCGTGCTCACTTGGCACCTCCCTCCTCTACTCGGATCTCATGATGCCGCTCTGTAGAGGATCCGCTAGTCTACTGAGAGAGCTGAGAGCTACATCGACATCATCCGCACTAGCCACAATCTTTCTCTCCCTCTGCCGATGCTCAATCATGACGTCCTCTGCCTGCAAATCTCCATCCGATTCCACGCTTCTTTCGCTGCCTTTCTTGGCATCTAAGGGGTGCAGCGAAAGAAGATTCAGTCATCATCTTTCCCTTGGCTTTCACCTCCCCCTCTGCTGCTGCTGCTGTCTGACTTCACACGTTTACTGCCGCCTGTTTATCTTAACCTCCCCGAGCTTTGGACTAGGCACTCATTCGCTGAGTGCAATTCTTTGCAGACTACCGACCGGAGCGGACTCGTCTAGCTCCGAGAGTCAGAGTCCACCGCTTATCCTGAACCCGAGTTCCCTAAACCCCGGTCAGGACATGGCTCGATTTTTTAGATCGGAGCGACTATCAGTGATTTATCCCGAAACTCTCTCCATTTCTTATCTGCCTGAGGACCTTTTCACTTTGGCTTTTCCTGAGTTCGTGAGTCGATGAGAATTCAACGCTCTATTTATTCCTTGGGTCTCCAATTTTCTTTTCAGTTCATGACCGCCAGGAGCACTGAGGTCTCGGTAATTCCAACGAGATTATTTCTCTTCTCCCTTAGTCACAGGCAGCCATGTCTGGCAAGTGACCACTCCGGCACTGTGGCTGGGCTTCACTTTTGACTCTTCCGCGGTCCTCCAAGATTGGCTACTCAGGAATCCTGCCACTTGTGCTTTGGCTCCTTAGTCTCTATATTTGTCCAGGGAATGATTTGAAATTGGCGGATTGTGATTCATTAGTGTTAGTTCTATCAGCACCTTTTTTGGTAAAGTAATATAGCAAAAAGGATGAGAATTCCCCATCAAGCACTACAGGGATGATGAAACCAATCGAATAAGAGTAGGCTAGTCACGAAGTGTATCGTAGTCCTAAGATATAAAAAAATCAACATCTAACATGATTTGTTTAATTATATATATATATATATAAAACACTAGGCGTTTGCTCTGTAGCTACTGATTTAAACTCGTTGTGTTGAGCAGTCTGCACTTCCCTGCATTTTCCTGGTTCCTGCATATACAGCAGGGGCTAGCTAAGGGGATTCATATACTTAAAATAGTTCATAGTGCGTAGCCTTTTGAACTTTCTCACAAAAATGTTCAAGGCTTTCTCATCGGTGTACATAATTACATGTAAAGTGAGCTCTTTGTATACATATATACCTTAAAGATTTGAAGTCCAACTCCTTGTTAATCATCATAGTTATCCACCATGTCCTGATTGTAAGTATCTCATTACTTATCAAATATATATAGTCCTAACCTTAGTCGATAGGAAAACATATTAGCGGTTCTTCTATCCGAAATGATATATCATTAATGGTATTAATCATATTATATGGCTAAAATGTAAATGGATTGATAGTCATGTAAATACAGAAAATGTTCATACACTCAAAACCAATTAACAGGAAAACTTGGGTGCACCAATTCTACTTTGGAGATATTTTTTTGTTGCAGGAAGAACCTCAAACCTAGCTACGGGTATCCTAGTGGTTTTCAAGATGGACTCATACAACAACGACCGGGGATCGAATAAAATCCCAATAAAACCCACCCACCGGTCCCATAAGCTTGCAGTGAACAGATCCATGGAATTGGACCCCACACAATGTAATGAAAGATAAATATAAGATGCATCTTGTCTGCTCTGATATTCCGGGTTTTTGAAGAAAAGCAGAAAGAGAAAGACCACATGATATACCTACATCTTACAAAATTGCTTTCAGGATCTCGTTACCCAGGGTACACATCACCGAATTGCGTAAGAGGGTTATAGGTAGATTATAGCACCGCCTAATATCGGGCGAGATATTTAGGGGGTTTTTTAGAGGGACCTGCACTGGAGGTCCGTCAGATTGTTTAGCAGGAATATTCCCCATGCGTCCGCGGGTTCCAGTTTAGCAGGAATCGCGTTTCGGTTGGTCCGTGGACTCTGCCCGGCTGCTGCAGCGCTGCCTGCCTGCTTAGTGGACTGGTACTTATGTCGGCAGTTTATCTCGTGACGACGCTTGGTTTCCATTATTGACTACGCGGCATTGACCAATTCAGCGTTGCTCATAATGGTGGTGTTCCGGGGATAATCGGACGCTTTCTATCGCAGAGACTCGGAGTCTCAGAGTGTCCAGGCTGCCTTCAGGTTCCCAGCAATTCCTGCTCCCTTCGTGTGCTGTTGCCCGTGCACTGTTTCGACTGGCGCCACATGCTGGAGTTGTCGCCATTTTGGCGGAGTTAGTTGCTCTTTGTCTCGACTCCTGATCTCGCTCCATCGAGTCACTTTTGGCCTCGGTCTCCTCCTCCTCCTTCTTCTTCTTCTTCATTGGCCGACATTTCGCTAGCTTTCATGGCTCTGCCACCTTCCTCTCCAGCTCCCCTTCTAGTAACGACTAAAACAGGGGTGGCACTAACTTCGAGGCTTCTTTCGCTCAATCGCCACTCGTGCCACCTTCACAACATTCTCCCTCGATGATTTACTCCAACGTTCCGTATGTTCCGTGGCGGCTCTTCTTGCCTCTCTCTCTCTTCCTTTTACCGGGCGACACCCGGTTCCCGTTGCTGATCTGCAGGGGTATTAACAGAAGCACCTCCACGAGTTCTGAGGGACAGACACAGAATCCATAGTACTTCTTAAGCTTATGTTATTCTGTTAGGATCGGCTCGTAGGTTTATATATTTTTGTTGTATTTTTCATCGATCGTCGATCCCGAGACTTCACGTCGTCAGGCTCCTCAGGCACGCCGACATCATTACGCTTGCATGGTGGTTTCTCGCAGGTTTGACGTCTTTGGCAGCTAATGGCTGTTGCAATGTTTTCGGAGTTTATAAACTTCGTCACTCTCGACGACCTAAAATATTATGTTTGCTTCGGTGAGGAGGAACTCATTGAGTTGTTCTGCATACTTGCTAGCTTCAGTGTATAATTACATCCAACGGCCTGGGATGGTGGGACTGGTTATGCTCTCCAACCTTCCGAACATACGAGGCATGAATGCTCAATGTAATCAATTATCGAGTATAAACTAAAGAATCAACTCAAGATATTGGAGGCCTGTAATTTTGCTCATAGTATCGATTTTGCTCATAGCATGATTTAAAATGTACATTTTCTCCGACACATAATATGATTCTCATATATGTGTCGTATGTTGTACGAAAAGCCAAAGCTGCAGAACTATTAGTGGTGTTCAGTTGACATGCCATACTGTTGACTACAGTTAATTAACAAGTGTATACGTGTACTTAGATACAATGTACAACATGGGCACTCATGAAAACCTCGATATCAGTTGGGTAGTTTACTTGGCTGAGGGTACAGCTCTCACGATTTTCATTATTCCTAGATCTGATGAAGAGAATGATACTAGCCTACATCGTGGCATTTAAGGCATCAAAGAAAAACTAAACGACATTACAAAATTTGCGAAGATACTCCTGATAAAACATACCTCACGATTATGTACGAATCACACGTACTGTACGAATAGTTCTTGAGTAGTCTTGAACCTCAGCTACAATTCGGCAGTGTGTGATCTAGAACAAACGAAGAATTATAGAGTTTTGTGTATCCCGGTATATAAGGTTACAGAGACACGATCCGTCGTATAGATATCGGATACAATGTGTAACACTGTTTGTTCGTGTTTGAGTGGTCTTCCTCAAGTAAGCAAATCAGCAGAAATCCTGCAAGTATGAGTTTTCTCTTTCCTGGCATTGCTCTTGGCATTTTCTGAATCATGTTCTCAAATCTTTGTGATTTTACCTTTTAATGAAAAGATTCTCGAAGAGTATCATGACAGAATGTGATGTAAGGGCAGTGCTGTTTCAGATTGTATGATGTGGGAGATTGTCCTCGACAGTGTTTGCGTGTCTCCGACTTTAAATGTGTTCATGAAGCTGGATACATCCTTCTGCAAGAGTTACCTTCCAGCGAAGCCCCAGAGAAGTAAACACTAGACAAATATACAAGAGGTGAGAGAGTACTCACCATGCGTTTTATAAGACGCCCGATTTATTCGTTGCGAGTTCCCAGCCCTAACCGTTCAATATTCAAGGTTGCTCGAAAAATTTGACCAATCAGCTTCAAAGTCTTGGCACACTTGGCATGATTCCATATTGATTCATTAATAGGATCAGTAAACATCGAAGACGAAGTTTCGACTCCTTCCCACATAATGCGCCCTTCCAGAGGCATAGTATTCATATATTCGTCATGGACGAACTGACAAAACATGAGCCAAATCAAAGGTATATTAAATGAAAGGTAAATCATATCTTACTATTCACGGATAAAAAGGTATGATATGATATCTTCATATCCAGACCTTAAAATAATTCCTGGAATCGTGCTTAAAACACGATTATTGGGAGCCTCACAGAACGAGTAAAAATGCACTCAGCAGCTCAATGAAGTAAACCTGTACACTTTTAAAGTGTATATTTTAAGAAGTATCCTTCTCCTCCTCTTCATGTCCATTCCTTCCTTCCTTCCTTTTGCTCGTTTTATTTCGCGTCTCACTTTCTAACTTTGTCCCCTCGTCCAGTTACTGAATTCTGCCATGGGCTTGGTGCACCCTGACCACTGTTGTGTTCGTCCCACAGACTTGGCTGCTCTTGAAGGTTGAAGTTCCCTTCAACTTTCCCCAGTTGAAGGGAACCCGTCGACCTGCCCCGGATGGATCCTCCATTTCCTTCTGCTCAACTCCTGCTTACTTTAGCTCCTTTTCAGCCGAGATCCTGTCCTCACCACTCTCCCCTTGTCTGACTTTCGACCAACTATCTCCGTTGGGTCTTGTCAAAACAGGCCCCTTCTTCCTTTGGCTGGACAGTGATCTCTTCCAGCCTGCTCCCACTGAACCTGCCTTCCCAAAGATAGAGGCTAGGGCAAAATTAGGCGCATGGTAGATCACGGGTTTGTCACCTCTCCTTCAAAACAAGATTCTCTTAATGGGCATTAATGGTAATCGGAGCTCATTGAGCTCCTTAACTTGACTGCCTTCTTCTCGAAATTGGGTCATGGAGGAAATCCTTCCTCGTTTTCTTTGTGCCACAGGAAAACAGTACAGTCATATGAACCTTCTATGACTCTGCCTCGTCCGGTCGAACGACTGCGATGGAGCGGTTGGAATATTGTCCGAGCTAGTTATTGACCCATTTATAGTTTTCTAACTGATTTCTATTCGAGAATGTCAAGTTATTCCTTGTGTTGTGGTGAAGCCAATGGATGCATGCTCATGCTCGAAAGATTGCAAGTAGGGTCACCGTTGAACACGGAATAGTTGACAGAACAAGCACCGTATCCCTGTCAACGATGGTTTCAAAACATGGTACACAACATGGATTTGAGAGTAGATATTTCCTCCAGAATGTTTCAACGCGTTGCGCAAATAATTGCTTGGAATTTGATCGTGAGAAAGGAGAGTCTGGCGGAGTAGGGCTCCTTTAGTGGCTACGGGGGCATTCGAACATCCTTGAGCTCGAAGATATGTCCACTGTCATCAGGGCTGACTTGAACGGTAAACATCATAATTGTACTGTAGTTGAATTGTGATGACATGACGGTGCCTTCGAGGACCACCACCAACAGAAACATTTTCAGTCACATCGCGTGATATCATTCTCTTCGCTCAATAACGGAGCACTTGCTTCTTTCAGCGTGTTTCCTTCAGTCGGTGAACTTCGTGGACGAAGATGTATCTCTCCTCGAACGAGACCACTAAAGAATACATACTTCGTCGAAGGATGGACTCCATCATTACTTGGTTCGAGTAAAAAAGCTGACATACATTTTCCAACTGAAAAAAATGTTTTGCACATTTCATGTTATACTAAAATAGTGGTGAATGCGTATATTTCATGCAAAGAATGTGATTGTTGTTGCATCACCGTCTGCAGCATGCAAATGATTAATTCTAGCGTTCCGCTGTAGTAAAATAGTGGTACCTTCAGACATGTAGGTGATTCATCAGCTCTTACAAATTGACAGAAAATTGTGTTCTTCAATTAGTAAGATTTGTTTGAGGTTGTGGTGGGTGAAGAAAATCTAGAGGTTGTCTACATACCGTGATCACTTCCTACCAATTGCTGTCTTTTCCGCACCATGGATGATTGGAAGGTGCAACTCGATGGCATTTTCCACTTGGAGATAGAAAGCAGTTGATTGTTCATCGAAATGAGTGATTAATAATTTAAAAAAAGGCGACTTAGAAAATTGAATCACTTCTCTTCCCACATGACCAAAGTCTTGTTTCGTCATTCTGCGAACACTCAGCACGCTCAGATGCGTGATGCAAATCAAGTACACATTTTCCACTCGAAGATGTTGCCCGCACGGTGTGTATGATGTCTTTGGGAAAGGACGCACTATCCTGTCGGTGATCATTGGGGTATAGAGGCAGAGTATGATGGCCTCGGTTGGGTCTCTCAAGAAGAGTATAGAACCGGATTATGTAAGCAGTAAAGACCTTCACCTCATCCTCAAAAGCCAGAAATTCGACTGCTCCCTTTTGTACTTTTGCACAACAACTTAGAGACAATAAGGACGAGCGCCTAGCGATAAGAGTGCAGAAAGCATCGCCGTACCTCACACTTTCCCGAAAAACTCGATGACTTCGTAAGCAAGTCTGAAGAGAACAGTGGCATAGCATCACCTTTGCTCGAACGACATCTTAACTCCTTCGAATATGTACAAGCAAGTGACCATGTCGAACCCGAGGTGAGCATGTACAACACATCTGATTTTTTGTCAAAATCTGTTGTTCCGTGAATCTCATCAGATTCTTCTGCAAAGCCACATGTTGTGCTCTCCTCGACCGAATTATACCCCAAGAAAAGTGGACCAAAAACAAGGGAATAAAACCGCTGTCAGCAGAAAAGCGTTTTCTTCAAAATGATGTATTGTACGTTGCAAGCCTCCTCACGAACCCTCCCCTCCCTCCCCACAATTCAAGTTTCTCATGTCTCGTATGGGCAGGGGGAGGTCCTGGAAAGCCTACAGACTACGGCGGAGGGAGGGCCCTCGACGAGAGTTCATAGAGTCAGGCAGCGGCAATCCGTTGGGTCACAGCAACTCGCCACAGCTCGATCCGAAGGTCCCAGCGGTGGGCGGTCCTACCGCTGCAGCAGGCGATGATACCCCCGGAGCGTGCATGAGGGTCAATCAAGGCTTGCCCAGCGGAGTCTCAGGAAACGATCCGTTGATTCCGTCCGATCGGGTCGCCTTTTTCTATTCAACCGTTGGAAAGATGTTGCAGCCCTGCAGCCCGTGGCGAAACGCTCCCGATTCCATCGTCTTTCTTTCTTTCCTTCCTTCCTTTGTTTTCTTTCCGGTTGTCGGGACGCGGCCTGAGATCCATAACGGGCCTGCGGAGTTTACCGGCCACTCGATCACTCGCTCGCTCGCTCTGACTCGCTCGAGGCTTCTTTTCGAGGCTTTCATTGGCTACCGGACACGCTGGCGAGCTGCCCGTTGGTTCCCCTCTGCGGTCTCTTCGCATGCCCGACCCGGAAGCTCTGTCCCGACCGGGCCTGGCCGTCCGATTAGTTCAAATGAAGTTCGAGATAAGATTCCGGACCGTCTTGTCTTCGGTTGATGGAACGGTTCAAAGCCCCAGCCGGGGAGAAAGTAATAGAGCGAGAGCTCCGTGATCCGAAGTCCTCCATTGGCTGGAGCCCTTCTCGTTTTCCATTACAGTTTCCGTTTCCAGCGAATCTGAACACTCCTTCATCCAGTTGTGGAGCAGGTTTCCACTTTGGGTTGCCTCTCGGAGGTTAATCCTTTGACATCAGCAGATGCACCTTTTGATCCAGGCTGTTGTCTTCGGGTCGAAGAAATGGCTGATTGCGATCGAGAACAAACCTTTTTCTTTTAACTTTCCTTTCCTTTCCGTTCAGGGTATGAAGCCCATGACAGGTCAAGATGGTCCTTTTCGTGACACAAGCTATGTCCATTGTTGGGATTCGTCCGAGAATCGTACATTTTCATCGCTTCTTCGACGCATCCAGTCTGCGTGGAGTCCGAAACGCGCGCAATTTGCGTACATGGAATCAAGAAACGAATCGACTTACTGACTTGAGAAGTCGACTGCAGTCCCAGATCTAAGGCCTGTCCGCAAACCAAGATTTGTGGTACTGGAAAGATCTACGTAGACACACGGACTGCTCTTGAAAGTGTAAGATTTGGATCTTTCGTTCGCGTGCCTCGCTCGGAAGTTGGCTCACCGTCACACATAGAGAACCAGCTAGCAAAGGTCCTTGATCATCATAATTAGGATCCATTCGGTGGAGACTGGTGGGCTCGCTTAACCCACCCGTCTCTCTAGCACTGTGAAGCTTGACGCAAAGTGAGCATCAATAATGTCGAACAATGAGAGTGACGAAGCTTGTTGGTGGACGATGTGGGAGATGTGTCTTGCATGTAGAGTAGGATTCGATCAGATTTTTCCAACGAGAATACGGGCGAGGGTCTCCTGGAAGCCCAGGGACACTCAGCTCGGAGCTGTGAACATTCGACATGACTGTCACAAAGCCTCCAGAAAGGTCAGTACAGTCCACCGAGTCTCATGGGTCGAAACATTTTTGTAAGCCATTTTGGCAAAGATGTAGATGCGGAGAGCTCTGAGACTTTCTCAAAGTGAGGCTAATCTTCTGCTCTGCGTACGAGCCCACGTACACCCGCACGTGCTCTGCTCTGATCCAATCGAGCTGATTCCCGGTAGATCATTGGGAAGATGATATGCCATAAGTTTCCCAATAATTGGGTGAGAGAGACTAAGCGACCAGTAAAACGGGGTTGATTTTATTCTCAGCTCCCACAATTCTCGTGGGTGAATCCGTTGTTGCCCCAGGGTCCGGTTCCGTTGCAAATTGATTGACCCGGTGCGCTGATGAGGACGCACACATCTTGCCTTGAGTGGCGGGTCAGTCGCCATGTGTTGTTGGTGTGTTCTACATCACACTGCGTGTGCATCGACGTTCTTCATTCGATTCCTGTGCATCTAGCTCGTTACGCTTACGCATCTGCCCGTTTCGCAAGATTCTCCATCTGAAGAAGAGAACCGAACATCTCCGCGATCCCACTGTAGGTTTGGCGCTGTTAAGATGTGCACTCATGATGATCAAATCAGGATGTCGTTCGTTTTCCTTCCCCTGCGCTCGCTCGACATCAAGCCTGTTTCATGATTTTGACTCTTTCTACAAGTGTACCATGGTCCTCCACGACTTATCTATCTATACTATAATTCGCTTTCGCAGCTTCGAGTTTCTAAAATTGCAGGACATGATAGCAAGCATGTGGGAGACGATGAATACTTCACGATAATGCCCGATGTTATCCAATTCCCCGTCACTGTATCCCTGTCTGTATCGACCCGAGACCAACGTGAACCAGAGATAGACAGAGCCATTCTCCATCCCCAGTGGAGACTCTGTACCTACCTTATCGAAGTCACTCCCTCACTCAGTTCACACGCGTGCACACGGCGGTAATCAAGTGCGGAACCATTTGGTGTCCCTTTACGGTCTGAGTGGTAATGACCGCATTAGGTTGGAGACCGAGGGAGGGTCCCTTGTGCTTGCAAGAGGCCTTGATGACTGCAGTCGCAAAGTTCCGCATTGCTCGGGAGTGACATTGATCCAAGGGATTGGGAGCTTCTGTAGCCCTGTACAGAAGTGTATAGTGAAGCCTCTGGCACAACCCCTTGGTGAACGAGGACTAATAAACATCAAGAAGAAGAACTGGAAAGCCAAGATTCTGTTGTTGAGATGTTGAGGAATGGTCTCGATGACATTTTCGAATCCTGGCAATCGGAATCTTGCATTGAACACCCTCATGAAAATCTTTGCACTACGTTCGTTTTCGTATGTAGTCATCATGCGAAGTCTACCTCGAAGAAATTCGTGGAAGCCAATTTTGTGTGGGTTTGTACAGTTCGATCGGAAGGATACATGTAGGCAGATAAGGAGTAAGTCAAGTGCTTGTACTGTTGTCATACCATTTGAGGTACGTAATCTCTCCCTACGGAGCACTCTTTTGGAATGGTAACATATTGCAACTTGCACTTGCACCAGTTATGTAGGTGGCAACATACGTAATTTTCCGGAATGGGTGCAATCCACATGGTACTGCCATCAATCCATCTGAGATGTAAAGTATTTAAGCCTAACAAGCATACACCCATGAGGGCAGCAATGCAGTTCATCGACACCGGAAGCTGTATGGACTACTGTCTTCACCCATGACAGGCAGTGCTATTATCTTTTCCGAGAACACTCACATCGACCTAAACCCGGAACTCTCTATCTAATCGTATGATGAGCCTCCACAAACCTGATTCCCTGTGTTTCCGTCCAGGTTTGGCACAATTTTCACCTGCAGGGTATAGCCACAATTTTCTCCACTGTGACAGGGCGTGCAAGTAGTTGAAAAGGCATGGTGACGAAGGAAGTCGATGTAGGGTCTGATCGTGTGAGGTAGTAAATTCGTGTGACAGCTACATCACTGTACTTGCTCTTATCAACTCGCCATCGACAGGTTGGTTCTGCTCAGATGCAAAGGGGAGCTTCTGCGTCGGAGTGGTTTCAGGAATCAGGATGTGTGTCTCCATCCGTCGGTTTCGGTTGCTCGGGCCCGATTGGTGTGAGCCGGGAACGGGAAGGTCACCGAGTTCCCTCCTGAGGATGTAGGCTTGTATTGTAGCATGGTCTGGACAAAGACTCGGGGGACGAGATGTTGGTGCTGATATAACTTCTCCTGTACTGTTCTTGTAGCACGTACAGGCAGTGGTGATCACAGATGTGCACAGCCTACGAACGGTGCTGCGATGGGAAGTTCTAAAGTCTCTGACGGCTGTGGGTCGGTCTGTCCGCTCGTACATGTCGTAAAGAATGACTTAGCCGCTTCTTGCAACTTTCGTGCGGACCTGAATGATGGTAGAGATGCAGGATCTGTCTAGGAGCGAGAGCTGTAGCCTGCGGCCGAAACATGGAAAGTATCAGAGGCACGTGAGTGAGACCAGTGGTCCTTCTCCGCCAGCTTTCAGTGTTTGCAAGATTCAGACTTGTAGATGGAATCTGATCTCGACCAGACAAATTGTGCAGAAACCTCTTCCACTGCATATGCATAATACGTCTGTGAGCACATGCCCGAATGTCGAACTGGAATTGGGCGTAGCTAGAATTGGCATGCTCGGCAGATGAAACTTTTTGCATGGGAACTTCACAAGTCTGACGATCGGACTCGGATACGAAAAAATTAAATTCATGACATCGAGTTTGATTCTAAATGATTTAGCTGATTAGAAGCTTCCAGCAAGCTATTGGCTGCACTAAGGAGCCTATTATTGAGCCACAACGAGGGACGGAGGGAGATAGGCGAGGTTTTCATACTTAGCTCTTCGATCAGCTGCCATCTACGTTCATTGTCTAATTCCACATGTGTGCCTCGGTAATTCGCTGAAACACAAAACTGCTTTTGCTTCCTTATAACGATTCTCCTATCTCATATAGAAGGTCGCAGGAAAATAATAAAAAGACCCAGCAAGTCATATATATGGATGGAACGAAACTGTCAACATGGGGCTAGGCTTGGATAGCATCGCAATGGATATTATGTCAACCAACTAAGTATCATTCCAAAATGCAATTGGTCTACTATGGATTGCAGCCGCTAGTGTTAAATACATAAAACTGGTGAAATGGTTGCCCAAAAAATGCCATAGAATAATCTTTAAGTCTCTTCAACATTCTAAGAATCATATCCAATTGAAGCTATACTTGTCATCCACCCAGGAGCATGTGTCGTAAATATTTGTAGTAAATAATGATTCATATATACATGGATATGTTTGCATCTTGTGGGTTAAGTTGTGAAGTAGGTATATAATGTATCTCCTAGTGTTTATGTCGCACACTCCCCGTAAAATGCTTTTGGACCAATCGCATTGATTGTTTTTTATCCGAGATAAAGAGTCTAACTATGTAAATTGTGGATCATATATATACAATATGATTGATCCACAATCCTTCTGGCGGTACGTAGTTATTTCAACCCGTTATACAGAACACACATGCCGTAATGTAGATTTTCCTAAGGGACAAAGATCTATAAAGAGATATATAGAATGAAGAAAAAAAGACATGAGAGAGAAAAAATTCATCTTGATCCTACAGCGCACAGGAGAAAATAGACGGGAGAGCTCTGATAAAATTAGGCGAAACCTTGCTTTACATGTAACAACATAAATATCAATCCAATGATTAACATCTTTTGGCAATAATAACTAGCTAGCTAAAATATCATTTTGGGGAAGTTATTTTGAGGTGTCATCTTCTTTGTTACAAAGTCATTTGTGCGTTTGTGATGTGACATGTACATGGAGGAGAAGGTCATTACATATGTTATAAATCAGGACTGAAAATCTTCACCTTTTTAGCCAATGAGATCTTTGAAGACTTTATTTTTAATGACTAACAAGCTAGATTCTCAAGGTGAGAAGTACACACAAGCATATAGACTCATATGAGTTAGATAATTCTCTACCATCTTTGAGACACTTAGCATTCTTGTTTAGGGAAAACTATGTCTCTGGAGTTATGGAGTATGTTGTAAGAGATGGAAACATTAAAACAATTTTAATCAGATTGTGCTGAGAGTTTAGGTAGTAATTGTTTCCATGACTTTTTTACTATCAAAGTACTAACCTTTGATAAGTTCAAACCTCTATTAGTCCAAACCTGACATGTTTTTTCCTGGAGGAATGATTGTCTCGCTCATACCAGATTTTGAGAAAGAGAATTTTTTTGTGGTGACAAGTATAGAAGAGAACACAGATGTTAAATATGACCATGCTCATTAGTGATGCATTAATTTTCAAAAATTATGACATGCAAGATTGATACTTTTCAAAGATAAAGCATCAAGCAAATGCTAGGAGAAGATATATCATCATGAATAGAGGGATTGTAACACTTGTTTAAGGTACAATTATGCAAGGAAATGGAAAAACTAAAAAACAATGATGGTTTGAACTTCGTGTATGATTGTAGTTGCAACTTATATGGGATTCCAAAGTGGTGATAAGCACAAAAGTGAAAAGCTAACTTGAGTTTATATAAAGCAATTGAAAAAAATGTCTACTTTCCTATAGATAAAGTATTAAAAATGTAAAGTAACCTGGTCAATATTATTAGACGGATTGCTAAAGGTTGCAAGAAATTGAAGCTTTTTGAGATATGAAAAGGTTTGTATGTTAGAATGATGATGTAGAGAATTTAAAAAAAATAGAATGCACTTCACACACAAGTTGTAAAGATTTTATTTAACAACAACTAAATATCTACCGTCAATAAGTTCTATAAAATTCCTTTATGGAATATTCTTTGAACATATTATGCTTGTCAATTATTTTTCACAAAGATTAAAGTTAAAATATTTGATTAACATGTGAATAAGTGGGAATTTTGAACTAATTGTAAAATAGATATTTGAATTTTACTATTGAATGTTGTGAAAAAACTTTCAAGTAAAATTTGCATGCAAAGTTAGCACAATTGATTAAATAGATAATACAAGCTTATTTTTATTTAGTTAAAGTAAAAGACTCTATTTTATCTATTAATATTGAATCCAAATTTGTTTGTATTTTATTTAATGTTAATGAAACACCATTAAATTTTGTTAAAAAGTTTAATAATCATCTACAACACTAAGATTTAGATAGAAGTTCATTCGAAGATGAAAAACATAAATTGTGAAGATGGAGATAATAACAAATGGTTTTATTCTTCCTTATATATATTTTACCAACAAGTACAAGGAGATAATAGACGTGGACGACAACTCTAACAATCACACTTTTTTCTGAAGTGACACTCTCAACTTACATATTCAATCCTTATCTAACAAGTACGCGCATCGCTGAAGTGACACTCTCAACTTACATATTCAATCTTTACCTAACAAGCACACACATTGTTGAAGTGAGGCTCTCAATTTACATACTGAATCCTTAACTAACAAGCATACGCACTGCTAAAGTGATATTGATGTTACGATCATCAATTTGATTATCAAAACATTGACGTTAAAAAAAAGCTCATAGAGCCAAAGGCGCGCCATATCTCTGAAGGAGAACTCGACAATGGCGATGTGGACGACAGAGAGAGTTGGTGGATTAGGTACATATGATAGCGAATCAAAAATCTATATATGCGCAATATTTCTGAGAGTGAGATCGACAGTGGCAGTGTGAGCAATAGATGGAGTTGAAAGACTAGATGCGGATGAAGGCAAATCAAGAATCTATATCTGTGTCATATCTTTGAGAGAAAAATTGACAGTGATAGTGTGAACGACAAAGTAAGTTAGGAGACTAGTTGCGGGGAAGGCAAATCAAGAATCTGTATCCCCCATATTTCTAAGAGAGAAATTGACAGTGGCAGTATGAATGACAGAAGGAGTTGGGGGATTAGATTTCGGGGAAGTCAAATCAAGAACATATATCCGTGTCATATTTTTGAGAGAAAAAATCGACATATTTTTGATGATTAAAATGGTTGTGTGGATGATTATAGTATCAAGAAGTACATAATATGATGTCGTCTTTTAAGAAAGTGTTCTTTAAATGATCTCCAGCGTTGAGTGGTATGCTCTACGGTCTTCTCTCAAATGCTTCGATAGATCGATCAATTGATGGAAAGTCTTTAGATTGTTTGTTTTTGTTTCCATCGTTTGGCGTGAGAGCAAGATTTTTCCATCTCATTTTCATGTTCTTTTTCTTTTTTTTGGTGGCGTTGTTGATTTGTAGATATGTCTAGAGATGTGTTTTCCCAATTTTTACTAATGAGTTTTCTGCAGCGCAGGAATTGGGCTTGATCTTTAAAAATAATAATTTTGCAGGTATATTTCAACCTTTGTAATTCCACTAGAAATTGGTGGATTGTTGTTGCCAATCTGATCATCTGATAAGTTGCTTCAACGTCTGTTTATTAATATCAGTATTTGGATTTTGAAGCTTAATGTATATCACGTGTTCTTACTCGCTAAATTGATCACATTCTTTCCTGTCAAATACTAGCTCATAAATTATCCAAATTCTTGCTTTGAATTATTGCTCACACATAATTGCTGAGGGGATGAGCTCTATTTGATGCTCAATTTCATCATCATCTTGATATTTTTTTCCAATAATTTAGATCTATCTAATCGATCGATTTAGAACAAACCCATCACTTTGTGAAAACATCGATTCGAAGAACTTTAAATCATCAACATGTGTTTGGTCATCCTGGATAAGATCAAGAAGCTATTGTAGTACTGTTTCTACCACAACAGTACGTCGGACACGTGACGATCTGCTTTCCTTGTGAGCATGAAGAAGTCGTCGACCTTGTCAATGTTTGCAACGTTTTGAATGACATTGTCTCCCTCTGAGCAAATAGATCAAATACACCAGAAGTAGAAAGGGGCAACTACTCCAAACACAAGCTGTAATCCACTGTCAAAATGAATTAAATGAGATCTTTCACTTCCATCATTTTAGAGTACACATTGTTAGATCGAGGGTCAAAAAGCAAAGCAATATTGGAGACTTGACAATTTAGATTGGCATTATATTTCAGCAACTTGAACTCCATGGCAATAACAGCTTGTTTGACGATCAGAGTGATGAATCAAGTGTCTAATTGTTCAAAACAGATTTTGTCGCACAAAGTAAGAAGAAGCTTGTAGATCAAGAGCTGAAGAGAGGATGAAACGTAGCCACGTCTACTGGCGGCAATGGTGCAATGGTTCATAGATTGCAAATAGTCTTTGCATGATTTGAGAATCACACTAGTCTATGTCGAACAAAATCATATTGGCCAATCAATCATAAAATTTCTTAGAATTATAGAGCGCTGAAAATATATCACGATACTGAAACTAGAGAAGGAGAGAGAGTGAAACATGATCAAGAGCTGGAGAAAGAGTGAAACATAGCCACATCCACTAGCGGCGATAGTGCAATGGTACTTAAAATGCAAAAAGTTTTTGCATTATTTGAGAACACAACAATCTATGTCAAACAAAATCATATTGGCCAATTGATCACAAAATTCTTTGGAATAATAGAGCGCTGAAAATACATCACAATACTGAAACAACTAGTAGATCATGATGAACATGGAATTTCAGCGCGTCTTCACATCCGAACCTGAAACTTCAACACGTACCTTGAAAACGACCTGCACAATAGTCAATTTTGAAAATTTGACGTGGATAGCATTGGATCCACAAATAACCTTGAATATTTGAAGTAGCATTTGCATTTCTTTTTTGATGATAGGTGTAGTATCACATACAACACGATTGTTATCGTGACAAACACATAGATTATGAAAATTGTCGTCCAAATGAAGTAAGTAATGATCATTCAAATTACGTCGCACAATGGTCATGGCCGTTGTTATCTCTCCGCTGTTATCGGATGTAATAGCCTTGATCTTTGACCACATGTTGAAATCATTCATCACCAAAAGAATCAAGTCTGATGTAGTG